CAGGTCTCATCCCATTTGTCGGTATTTGTGATATTACAAATCCCGGAAAATATGCGTTGTGGTCCAAACGAGTCGTTCGTTGTAGTTTTTGAAAAGTGATTTCTGTTAAATAAAATATCTCCTTTTGAAATGGACTTTGAGCTTTGTAACTTTGCAGATCTTTTTTATGCTCAAACAGCAACATTACAGACTAACTAAAGTTGAAAAAGTGAAAAAGCATAGTAAGACCCCTTTAAAGGAAAAGTTCACGCAAAAATTTAAATTCTGTCATCATTTACTCCCCCTCAAACCTATATGAATTTCTTTCTAACATAAAAGTAGATATTTTGAAAATGTCACAGAGGTTTTTTTTGTCCATATAATGGAAGTCAATGGTAACCAAAACTGTTTGGCTAACAACATTCTTCAAAATATTTTCTTTTATGATCCACAGAAGAACAAAATTCATACAGGTTTGGAACAATATGAGGGTGAATAAGCAATCAAAGAATTTTTGTGTGAACTATCCCTTTAAGAGTCATCACTTAAAACAAAATAACAAATAAGATAAGTCTGATATCACTAGTGAAAATATTACTTTGCATTTTCAAATTTAAAACAATATTCCCATTACAAACATATAGTATTTCCAGCTTACCTTTAAATTAATTTTAAATTGATATTTTCATAAGATTAATTATTGTGACTTTATTAGAATTAAATTAATTAGTAGATTAGAATTAAAATTGCTTTTTTTATTTTAATTTTTTTACATATTTCAGAAACTGTTTTACTTGACTTTTAACTTTGTATTCTGTTTTATTAGCAATTCTCTTTTTGTTTTCATGTCTGTAAACAAAAGTATCAAGTATCAACCTCTGGAGGGAACTGCAGTAGTCCGGTGAGGAGGTTGAGACGTCCACGGTGAGGCATTCCCATGACCACGTCTGTCACTCCACTATACACCGCAGAATGGAAGAGCTCGTAGAAAAATCCCATCATGCTCTCTGCTCCCTCACCTCCATATCGTTTAACAGTGGCAAACTTGGTGGCTAAAAAGTGGTCAAATTCCTTTAAAAAGAGAACACAGGAGACGCACATTTGCTGATGCCAGTGGAATCAAGTGTGTAATGATTTACATGTTATTCAAAGTGTTACAGTCATCCTGAGGCATTCAAAAAAAAAAAAAGTGACTAAATGCAAATGGCTGTGTTACCTGTGACTCAAGCATCAGTTTAGCCAGCTGTCTCCTCTCCTCCGGTGAAAACGCCTCTTTCTTGAGCTCCTCAAATCGGTCTGCAAACCACTCTCTTTCCTGCAAGCTCTGGAGCTGAGTGGTTTCCACTGAGATTCTCCCACAGTATGTTCTCTCCAGATAGGCCAACACCTCTTCAGAGGTCGCCTCGGCTTTCCCAAAATGCCGCAATCCTGGAATGACGACAAATAAAAATGTAAGGAGATAAATTGACCAAACTAAAGAAGTATTTTTTTAAAATAATGTTCTGTGGTAGACATGTGCCGTATTCGGTAATACGGTATATCACGATAACGAACATGCAAGATATTGTTATCGTGGGCACCTCAAAATACCGTGAATAATTATTTCAAATTATTCCGATTTTTTGAATGCATTTAAAGAATACTTTTCCCATAAACTGGTTAAAATGCACAACACCGCTGTATGCTGCGTCACAGACACATGCGCACTCTCATGTAAACAAGCCCAATGGATGAAGCGCATGATGGGAGGAGTGAAGGAGACATGCTGAATGAAAATGCACATTCCCTATCTGACAGCAGATGGCGCTGATGGAACAGCAGAAATGCAGCTGTAACCCCGTAAACAAAGCAGCTGCACTACTTTCTGAAACATATTTATATGATTTAAACAGCCATTCAGATTTGCAGTGGCATTCTTCACATAACTAAATACTTAAAACGGCTATTTATTTTCAAACTTTTTTATATTTTAATCTGGACTACAACATTATATTGTTTGAAAATGTTTTGATTCTTTATTGTTCGGTCACATTTTACATTAAAGGGTTAGTTCACCCAAAAATGAAAATTCTGTCATTAATTACTCACCCTCATGTCGTTTCAAACCCGTAAGACCTTCGTTCATCTTCGGAACACAAATTAAGATATTTTTGATGGAATCTGAGAGCTTCCGGTGTGACGCAGCTGACACAGAACAGCATACGTTGTTTATGTCCAGCTGATACTCTCCAAAATGGCGCTACAGGGTGATGCGGAGGAGACGAATTGTTGAATAAAGTCGTTTTTTTTTTTCTTTTGCGCACAAAAAGTATTCTCGTAGCTTCGGAAAATTACGGTTGAACCCCTGATGTCACATGAATTATTTTACAGATCTCCTTGCTACGTCTCAGGACTTGGGAACATTTCAGTTGTATTGCTGTCTATGCAGGGTCAGACAGCTCTCAGATTCCATCAAAAATATCTTAAGTTCTGTTCCAAAGATAAACTAAGGTCTTCTTCAGTTAAACTAAGTTAAACTTGCATTAATTTTACATGGCTTTCTAAACATGCGGCTCCTTTGTGCGAGATGCGAGTGCAACAGTAATAGATGTCCCTCTAGAAATTGCGTGAAATATGTGTTCTGTGTGAACGGCTTGGTTTCAGTTTTGATGTTAACAAGATCTTCAACTGGATAGGCGAACAAAAACATAATGCAACAGCACTTACATCGTCATTGCATCTCGTGCGCCACTGATAAGGCTGCCTCCTTAACGCACACCTAAAATTGAATGTGGATTTTTATTTTAAATTCGACGAATATTCTAAATTATAAAAAATTTTGACAGCCCTACTTTATACATTTTTGTGTATTACTTTATTGTATTTAAATGTCCAGTTCTTTATGTTATATTAAAAAGTTATCAAACCTGTTATATTATGACAACACTTTTTTTGCAGCTTTTTCAATATTGTGATATACCGTGATAAAAGCTTCAGCAATTATCGCAACATGAAAATTTGATACCGTCACATGCCTATACTAGGGCTGCACGATTAATCGAATGCAATTATCATGCGCATTTTGATAGTAATGCCGGTTCTGTAATCAGCAGGAAATCATCATCACGTGCTTTCAGATGGAGCAGAATTTACTACACATAGCCGTAGGCACAGAAAAATTTAAATATACATTACTTTGAAAGTATAGCCACAGCCCACACATAAATACAAACAGACATACTGATTTAATAAATTACATTACATTACATACTTTAACATTACAAGCTAAAATAATAGTAATACTAATAATAACAATTATTATTTAGCCATAACATATAATCACTACATTTGGGGCCAAATTGTCCAGCCCTCCAATCTAGCACAGCAAACTTGGAGGAATTAAAAAAAAAAAAATTGCAATCACAATTTTTATCTGAATCAATCAATCAAACGATTTTTTCAAAATGTATATACAATATTCATAAATAATACTAAATTAAAAATAAACTAAACTAAAAATAATTACAATAATTAAAAAAATTATAAGTAAAAATAATCACAATATTAACCAAATCATAACATTATTATAAAATAAAAAGTTTGTTAATAAATATACAAGAGTGCACTTAAACCCGAATGCCTTGCCCCATGTAGACTTCAAAGGTAATGCCATTAATATGTAAATTAAATTTCTGCACTAAATTGAAGGACATGTGGAAATTATTTTATGTGCTAATCGACATAATGAGATATAGGCTATATGGCTAAATGCATATTGTCATACCGTTCGCAGACTTTAAACCCGGAACATTCCTTTAGTAAGACGTAAGTATTATTTTACGACCAACTTCAAAACTATGTACCAGGAAACAAGCAGAAACTCACCGGTGGTGTTGAGGACTCCATCAACGACTCCATTCAGCAGGCCGATCTCCGGCACGCTGTCCAGCACAGGAGTTTGTGGAAGTAACGGGTTAATTTGAGCTACTTTGTGTCCATGTGCTCGATAGGCCTCCACCAGTCTCGCTAGCCCGTGATCTGTTTACATGAGACAGCCAGCGAATGCGGCTTGTAATACATTACCACACTCCATATGGTAAAACATTACAGATTTGGCTTCGCATCTCAAATATTTTTACAGGTTTAAGAATTCATCTTTAAGAAGTAAGACGCTAAGCGTATGTTATGGGTCTCTAAAGCATAAACATTATAATAATACAGACAATATTAGAGACAGGTTACTGTTAATTTATCAACCTTGGTTAAGCGCGGAGATCTGCGGAAGCCCAGCGTCTTTCTCCGGAATCTCTCTCGGTCTGAAACCATAGACTCCCCGCTGAGTGTGGTATAAACTCGCTAAAAACGGCCGTCTGGCACCGAAAGAACGGTGCAAAAGTCGATGTAGGTTTATAAGCATAATACCCGCTGACGTGGTGGAAATAAATAAACTAGATGAGCCACGCATTCTAGTGCGCAGCCATAGTAAACGATAGCGGTGTCCGATAAGTGAATGAATCATTATTGCGAGTCGAATCTTCTCAATGAATCAGTCCAGTCTGAACGACTCGTTCACGAAACGGATAGAATCCGAGAGAGCAACTAACTGAGAGTGTTTACATTGACATTTTCACTGTGATTATGTTTAATAACACGAAAAGTCTGAATGTAACTCACGAAAAATTGTTATTTTATCGGTTAAAGGTCACGGTTAACCCAAAATCCAATCAGCAGACCTATATTTTTGTATTACACTGATTTCACTTTTTATGCAAGCGATCTGACAGCGTTCTCGCGGCTTTTTAATGTGCTTAACTTAAAAACACTTAAACCCCAATATTTCAAATATCACGTAAACGCGTTGATTAGTTGTTAGAATAAGCTGATTTTTGATTGTTATTATACAGTAGCCTAGCATACTGTTGTCCATGTAAAGGCACTCTCTCGTTAAACCGTTAAACTCTCGTTAAACATCTGAAGACTTGCAATGAACTCACCAACTCCTTGAACCGAATAATGTGTAATAATGTAGCGCATAATATTTAGGTTTTTATTTTCTTAAATGTGTGTATATATATAGTATTTATAGAGTTTTAGCTTTTAGTTTTAATTACTTTTTCTTATTTGTAAGTCGCTTTGGATAAAAGCGTCTGCTAAATGACTTAAAGTAAAGTAAAGAATTTTTTATTTAATTTCTTTTATTTTCTTAAATGTGTGTATATATATAGTATTTATAGAGTTTTAGCTTTTAGTTTTAATTACTTTTTCTTATTTGTAAGTCGCTTTGGATAAAAGCGTCTGCTAAATGACTAAAAGTAAAGTAAAACTAGGTTTTAAATAACTGTGATTTATGAGGTAAATAATGTAGCTACACTTTAAAATACAATAATCACACTTATTAATTAAATTTAATATATATAAAATGCAATAAACTGCGACATAGGCGAATATAGAGCATGTATGTGCCATATCATCATGTCAGGAACCACGTGATGACGTACATACGTAAAATAATAGATGAATCGATCTTTTGAACCGGTTGTTTGAACTAACTGTTGAAAAGAACCGATTCGCGACAATGAGTCGGACTGAACATCACTAATGCACAGAGGCACGCAGGTGGGAGGTGATGATTTGCTCATCGCCTATTGGCGATTGGTTTGTAAGAGGGTTTGGATAGGTCAACTGGTTTATGCCTATTTAGAATATGTGTATTGTTTCCCAGGTGAAAAAGACGTAGTATTAAATGTATTAAAAATATACTTGAAATTCAAGTAGTATGTTTATAATACATTTGTATTCCCAACATGCTTATTTGAAGTGCAATAAAAATATGTTGAATTGCATTTTAATATATTTCTAAAAAGTATACTAGAAATACTTTGGTAATACATATATGCTTAGTTACACTTTTAAGGAATATGCTAAACACAAGCACACTATTAGTATATTTCTAAAAAGTATAGTAGAAATACTATGTTAATAAATATATTTTTAGTTACACTTTTAAGGAATATGCTAAACACAAGCATACTTTTAGTGACTTTTTAGTGTATTTACAGAAAACATACTTATGTTACCCTTCCACATCCTGCCATCATCCCGCACTTTTGCCTCTCACCATCCCTACGCCATCTCCTCGTCCACCTCCAAAATCCCCTCCATCCCTCCCTATTCTGTTGCTTGAACTTTATCATCTTCAGTCTTTGAAAAACAAAGTGCATAAGTGAATAGCTTGTGTGTGTGCAGCCTTTTTTAATGTATTTTTTTTCTTCAGAAAATTGCGTTGTAATTTGTATTTATTCACTGATGTAAAATTCTGTACTTTTTAGTAAGGCCGGTATAACTGAAATGTTCTACAAATGGAAAAGATAGCTCTGCCATAGCTTTTCAGTCTTTTTTTATTTATGTTTTTTTATAATGTATTAATGTACTTGAGTATGTTTGTAGTAATACAAATATACTATAAACATACTTGTATTTCAAGTGCATTTTTAATACATTTAATAGTATGTTTTGTTTTGTTTTTCACCAAAGTATATATGCTGCTGTCCTTTTTTAGTGTACTTTATGAATATTTGTAATGTACACAACAATATATAATACATTAAAGTTTTCTAGATATCAAAGTGTGTACGTGTGTGTATATACTGAAAAAAGCAGCTTTATAATATACTAGTAGTGTAATGCTAATGCTGCTAATGCATGCTGAAATACAATTGAAATGTACTTGAAGTACATTAAAACGATGCTTCAAATATACTCTATATACTCTAAATGAAGTATTAAAAAGACATTTTAAATGTATTTTAAGAAATACACTTAAATTGCACTAAATATACTTAAAGTGGTTCCATTTTAACACAATTTCAATATATTAAATATATTACAAATAGATTAAAATCCAACTTAAACATATCTTGAAATACAAACTTAAACATATCTTGAAATACACTTAATATATTTAAAGTTGTTTCAAAATAATACATTTAATACATTTTTAGTATAGTATAATTTAAATATAGTAAGTATGTCTGAAAAAGCACAATTTAAATATATTAAATATATTTTTGGGTATTTTGA